CCTGTCCATAGCCATGCTTAACCACATTCAGAGAAATATTCAGCTTCCACACAGATTACAGATTCCTACCTACACACACAGACATTATATACTCACATAAATAGTGTACATAAGATTAACAAACAATAATCTCCCATTCAACACCCCACATGGCTCCCCCCATACCAATTTCTGGGGCCAACACCCCCACCTAGGGGTGCAGCAGCGATCTGGCTGCTTCCCTCCAATTCAGCAACGTGACACAATCTCCCTTTCAATATGAACCTCCATGGAGGTAGACTGGAAGGAGAATTAATCTTGTACATATACCTCAAAGTGGGATGATGCATCATCCCCTGTATCCATGGGGGGCAAAGATATAAGGTCTGAGACCTAGATCATGGAGGTGACTGTGATGCGTCTCCCCCAGTGCCAGCTGGAATTGAGGTATAGATGAGCCCCCCTCTCTCATTAATCTGGCTTCACTCTTGCACAGTGATGCAAAGCTGTAAAACCCTCCACACTTGCACTCACACCAGCATCCACAGGCAGGGATCCATATCTAGCAGTGCCGGGAGTGGCCACATGGGAGTCTGTCATTAAACAGTGCCCCTGCCAATATTAAATTACACAATGTTGAAGTTGTCATACATCAAGAAATCTGTTTCTTCTGTATTGTTTCTAACTCACTACAGTGAATGAAGAGACAAGGTGCGTGAGGTAATATTTTTCAATGGACCAACTTCTGTTGGTAAGAGACAAACTTTGGAGTCATACAGAGCTGTGACAGTTAATCCCTATATCAGCAAGATGAAGATGGAACAGATTGTATAGCATAAGTAATGAGCACAAACTGTAAGGTATCATTCAAGGTAAAGTGGCCTGTTAACATCTCTGCAGCCACTGCATTCTGTAAGTAAAGGCTGTTCTGAAATTAAATACATCTAAAAACTACTTAAAATCTATTACATGGGAATCTACATTGCCTAGGTAACAGAATTTGCAATATAACAGAAAATCAGGTCTCAGCTTATCTGCTGCTTGATGGATCTCAGCCAACAAGTTTGGTTGCTACTCTGTCTTATGCACTTGCCATATGGCAACGATAGTTCCAGGTCATTAGAGTTATCTGTTCAGCAATAAAGCCCTTTCTGTTATGCTCTTTCTAATTAAGTTGTATCATAGTTGGCGTTAAAGAATGATTACGAAAAAATTGATGAGCTTCAATCATTATTGTTGATTATAAAATGAGTACATCTTTACACTTAAATGTTCTGGATAAAGCTTAAGAATGGCAGTTGTATAAATAAAATTAAAGTCAATGTATAAAGTTGGGACATTTAGGCAATAAAACTATTTATAATCAGAAGTGTAAAATATTTATTTGTTAAGGAAATATCCTACCATAGAATAGGTCTTTAGGAAAACCATGGTAGTGTTATAGCCTAAGATTTAATTTGTGTTACTTGGCCTTAATCCATATTTTAGAGGCACGTTCATCAAAATTAAATTTTAAAGATAGCTTGAAAGTTCAGTTACTTCATCATTTGCTATAATAATATTAAAGTTTCATATGGCCTTTCTGGATTCAGAGGGTGGGTAATGTTGCTTCATTGATCCTTTTTTATGTCAGGACATAGGAATCAAATACTATTTTTTTTCAAATCTGTAACTGCATTTATCATATTCTAACAGAAACTAGGACAAATGTTACACGGGATAAAGATGTTAAAGTTAAACTTACCACAACATCTGACCTCATCTTTCCAAAGGTCTTGATTAAATGAGCATAATGATAGTCTTCCATTTGCCTTAAAATGGCTGTCATACTTGCAACGAAGTTCCCCTATTAAAATAATAATAATAATAATAATAATAATAATTTAGTAGATTGAACTAAGCATGCCTGATATCAAAACACTGTGTCACTGGGCTCCAACGATTTCTTTTGGTGTGTCAATGAAATAGATAAGTCAAAGTAAAACTTTATCATTTATGGAAATCCATGCACAATATGCTGAACAGGCACTGAAACATACCTAATATAAAATGTAAAACAAATATTTATTTGTTTCATACTTTATCAGACATTTCAGTCTTGATTTTGGACTATTTTTGATACAAAAACTATTTGGATATATCACCCTTTTATGCATTACAGACTCTAAATTCTAACAAATACATTACAATTTCGGTATCCAGATCTGTGCAAATAGAGTATGCAATGAAAACATCTCTTTAATAATCATTAAAATGGATATTGTTAGATGACCAAATTTATGAAAAAAGCACTCTCGTATAATCAGAAAAATCTAACACATCATATCTTTAAACTCATGAAAAAAGTTCTGCAAGCCTTTCGGCTAAGAAAAAAGCCCTATTGAAACTAGAAAATCTAGGGTATTGTCAATGACAGTTCTTGTTTAATACACTTAGTCTACTATCCCTTGTTTAAAATATGTTAAGTGGACTGGTTGTTATCAAATAGAACATAAACCTTTGCAGTGATTCTCAATAAATCAACAAATAAGTCTAATATTTAGGAAAGTTTCAAAATTCAAAGGCAAGCTAGAGAATAAGCAGATAATGATCTGATTTCCATACTGTCTTACACAAAATTTCAAATTAATCTTTTATTTTGCTAGTTTGAAGATTATTCTATTCCATGCATAGTGTGATATAAATTCAATTTGAGTAGTAACAGAGCACTTGAGAAAGTAGTTTTTGATCAAACACTGTTTCCTTCTAAGCAGGATGTTGATTTAAGGCCTTCAATACTGATCACTTCAATCTGCATTGCTACAGAAAGCTCATGTAATTGAGGTCAAATTTCAGACCATGGAAGAGGTTTGGCCTTTTCATCTGTGTAATTGTCAATGCACCACCCACTCACCCTGTCCCCAAACTTCCTAACATGGAACTGGCAGATTCTTGCACTGCAGTTCTGCATACCCTTCCTTCTGGGTAGCAGGCTTTGTCTGTGCTAGAAGGCATTCCTTTTCCCTTATTAGTTTTTCTATACTACACAAATACAGATCAGAAATATTAAGAGATGCAAACAGTGGAAAAAAAAGAAAAGGAAGCAACTAGCTAACTGGGTGATTGCTATGTCAAAGACCTTTATAGTTACTATTTCTTTTCAATAGGAAGAGATGGGGATTTAAAATGATGTTAGCTAAAAGGAAATTTATATAATAGGGGACCCACTCACTGGAAACAGGAAAGAAAAAATATTAATGGTCAAAAGAGAATGTATAATAAATATGTACATAAAGAAAGACATAAAAAGGGTTGGAAGCCAAACCTAATAAATATTGAGCCTATCTCCATTAAGGATCCAATGTTATAATCAGTGGAGTGTTCTGAGCCATAAAGGCCAGAGTTGCGGAGTAGGAGAGAAGGGAGTTTGGCGGGTGAAAGGGTGTTGTTGTCTTAAACTGGCCAGTTAGGGCTACATTCAAAATATAACATCAGGCCTTACCTCCCCCATAAATTCCTGGTTCATATAAATTCAGAAAAGGTGAAGAAGAGAAAGGAGATTAGATAGGCTTTCTTAAATCTAATTTCTGTATTTGGTGATTTAAATAGCTAATCTTAACTCCACTCTTTTTGGTCTTAGTCCTTCAAACATTTATTTACATGATTAATTTTATTCATGTAATTAAAGTTAGGTATGTGTATTATTTCTCTATTGAATCAGGACCTTAATAGGGTTGCCAGGTGTCTGGTTTTTACCCAGACAGTCCGGTAATCGCATCTTCCATCCGGTAAAAAAAAAAAAAAACAGATTCCCCTCACCATCTAAAAATCTGTTCATTAATAAAGAACATTTGTAGGGCACAAACTAGATGCTTATAAAATGAACTCAAGTGACAGTAATGAAATTATCTGAATGACAGCCGTTGAGTCATATCAGCTGACCAGGATGTGTTTTCATTACAACACTTTCTCCTGAATGCAGAGTAAAAAAAGAGTTAACCTTTATCCTCATTCAGAGGGTGTAGGGTTGTGAGAGGGAGGGCCAAAGGAGGAAAGGGCCTTTGCAAAAGTATTTCATCTTCAGACTGTTAATACCATATTGAACTATAAGGAAGAAAACCATACAAAAGTTAAAATTAAACTATAAAGCTGTATCTATTTCCATTTACTTTTCAACTTAAGGACCATGTATATTCCAACTATAATTTTCTATGCAGTTTTAATTTAAATAGCCATTCCTATAAATGCTTCAGATTGAAAATATATCATTAAACTTATTTTTTCTTTACGTATCTTTAGATTTAGTAATTTAAGATTTTCTTTCATTCACAGCCTACACAGTATGCTCTCCTTTACAAAACTGTCTAAAATTGTAATGTTATAACTGAGACATAAGGTGAGTGAGGTAATATCTTTTATTGGATTAAAGTGTAACTTTAATATCCTAGGACCAACATGGCTACAACAATGCTACAAACATAATTTTTAAGCCTATTTCATATGGCCTATTATCTATTTAGCAATCGCTAGGAATATTAAACACTTGTCTTACGCTACATTTTAATGTTTAATTAGATTCAGAAAAAATATTATCATCTCATATATCAGATGACTCCAGGCAATACAAATAAAAAAATCTAATTTTCTAGAAAATCAATTTCAATTTTACTGTAGGAGTAATTGCAGACCTATATTTATGTAACAAGTACAGCATAGGGCAACATATTGGACATACTGGTGCCCTTTACAATTATTAGCTATTCATTCAGTGTCAAGGTTTTCACTGCAAGTGCTTCACATACTTCCACAGTTACAAAGCAAGAAAACAACACTATAAATGAAATACCGTATTTTCCGGCGTATAAGACGACTCTTTATACTAAAAAACATCCCCCAAAAATCGGGGGTTGTCTTATACGCCGGGTATAAACATACAGGCAGTCCCCGACTTGCAGGTACGAATGGGGCTTTTCTCGCCCCGGACGACACGGACTGCAGGACCTTGCGGTCCTGCCGCCCGTGTACTCCGGGGCGAGAAAAGCTGCTCCGCGTCTCTCTGGTCTGCAGACCAGGAAGACGCGGAGCAAAGCCACAGAGGGGCTCCGGCAGCGCGGGAGGCCACGGGGCCCGCGGGCGCGCCG